GAGCCTGCCCAGAGTTTAACTTGTGCCAAGGTTTGCATCTCTGGGGTTGGCAGTTCATAGCCCCGGCACCTCTGGGCTTGCTGCTTCACTTATGAAAGTAAAAAAATTGCTTGAGCTCCAGCACCTAATTGCTTCAGCCCCAGCACCTCTTTCATTACAAATTAAGCACTGGGCCTGCCCCAAAAAGATTACAATCTAAGGTCCTGATCCTCCAGTCGGATCCATGCAGGCAGACCCCTGAGCCCATCCAGAGCTCCATTGACTTTGGTGGGGCTGTACATGGGCACAGGGCTCCACATCTGTGGATCCAGTTGCAGGACTGGGATTTAAATGAGACAACACAAGGTGGGATGAGCGGAAGAGGAGGTACGGCATGACAAGGGTTACAGCAGTGAAAAATCATGAGATGTGCTTGTGGTTAGTTCCCTTTTTTAGTGTCTTAAGATCTGGGATTGCATCTGAGTTCAGTAAGTGGAGGTTGAAATTCAATCTGAAATGCACACAAAATGCTCCTCGCTGGTGACAGATGGATTCCACATTCCTTCTCCCTGACCCCTGGAGTGGAAGTAGGGAGTTGTCATCAGCCTGCAAATGCTGTAAGAACTCCAACATTTCAGTGACTATTCATTCCGAGTTTTGAATTAGTTCCCTGGGAGCGGGTTGGTCCCCCTTTTGTGTTTGCTTTCTGCAAGTATTCCAGCAGAGGAGCCTTCCAGGCACATATACACACCCACAGCACAGCATGATTGATAAGTTGCTAAAAGCTGTTTTCAAATCAGTTAACACCCAGAGTGCAAACTGCACATCCTAAAATACAGAACTTACATTCAACTGTGCAATCTGAAATCTATGCTGTTGTTGGCTGATTACACAGGTCATTGCCATAGGGCGTAGCTACCCCATAGTGCCAAAGTGTGGCACTGCCAGCACGCCCTGCCTCAGTTTCCTTCCCTAGGGTGGATTTCCTCAGTTCTCCACACACCAGTCTGTGCTGGAGATATGGCATAGCCCTCTGTCCAAATCACAGACAGGGGAGCAAAAGACCAGCTAAAAGGCCCAACAAATAAAAAAGCTTTTCTTCCCTTCAGCCCAGCCTCTGGACTCTGTTCCCAACCTCTTTTTGGGCTACCTGTGCCAGTGTTTATGGCTCTGGCATAGGGCCCTCCACCCTCAGGCTGGTTCCCCTGAAATACTATTTTCAGCCCCTTCTGGGCTCTGTTCCTTGCAGCCTTCCCTATTCTGATATAGGGCACTGGGTTCCCTGAACTCTATAGACCCTGGCTTGAGGCCTTCCATAGGAACCTGCCCCACTCCCTGTGTTTCCACCAGCAGAGTGAGCTCTCTCAGTCCTTTTATAAGGCCCACGTGATCATTAAAGTATCACCTGACCCTTTAGTCCCACCCCCTCAGGTTGGGAAGCAGATAATTAATTATGACACAGTTGTTGCTCATTTGCCCTTACAGGGACTAGTCACTCTGTGACAGTCAACCAATCAGGAACTGAAACAAGGGCATGTGGCTTAGAGAAGAAGTGGCCTGGTCCTTAGGAGACCGAGGTTCCATTACTGGCTCCGCTATTGACTTCCTTAAGTCACTTCACCTCTCTGTGCCTCAAGGCCCCATCTGTAAAATGGGGATAATTCTCTCCTTTCTCCCACCTTTTGTTTGTTAGACTGTAAGCTCCTTGGGGCAGGGACTGTCCTTCTCTATGTGTTTTGAAACAGCATCTAGCACGATGGGGCTCTGATCTTGGGTGGGGGCTCCCAGTGCTACCATAAATCAAATAAACAATCATAATAATTAATAACTAATTTACAAGCAATGTCACATTTAAAATATTTGGCACAAACCACCTGATCAGCAAGAATTATTTGCTTAAGAACTCATGAATAAATACACTTGAGACTCTCTCTGTTTCTTGGCAGACAACAGAAAAAGAGGGTCAACTTTCCAAATTAATTGTTTGTTAGGAACTATTGCCCAGATCCCCATGGAGGGCACGTGAACCCCCCCCTTTCAAGGAGGCTATCCCCTGTGCTGCCCCTTCTGCTTGAGGCCCCCCTCTTACTCCACCCCTCTTCCACGTCCCCCCCCTCGACCCCCGGAGCCAGAGGAGCCCCACTGTGGCCAGAGGATCCCAGCTGAGCTGCCCCAAACCCAGCCTGCCTGCCCCAGCCACTCCAAGTCCCCAGCCGCCGGCCGGCCCAAGCCCCCACCGGCTTCGGGGGAGAGGCAGAATGAGGGTAGGAAGAGAAGCAGCGTGGGCAGGGGACGAGTGGGACGTGGGCCTCAGGGCGGAGCGTGGGCAGGGCCACGGCTTGGCTGTTTAGAGAGACTTAGCCTCCTCTTGCCCATGCAGATCCCTGTCATCCTTCCGCTTTTCTTTTCTCCTGCTACTCTTCAACCCCATTCCCTGTATTCTCTGCCTCCTCTGCTTCCCTGCCCCTCCCATTCTCCAGAATTTCATTGCTCCTTGCGCTCCATATACTGCTTTCTGCTCACCCTGAAAGACCCAGGGAGGAGAGAGGGATGGGACTCAGAGGACATTTCTATGCTATTTAGCAGCTTGAGGATTGAGCGTCTGTTTTCAGACAATATTTGATTAACTCACTTTGTATTGTTTTTGCTAGGTGTGAACGCACACTGAGACTGCTCTGATGGACACGCTGTTAATAATTAAAAACATAAATCAAAATAAATCAAATCTCTAGATGTAGGCCACCTGTGGGCTTGGGTCAGGAAACACCCAAGGACTGAAACAGCAGTTCAAATCAATATATATTTCTTAATTAAAAAAAAAGCCAGGAGTGCAAATTGTTCTCAGCTCAGCATTTGCCAGCCAATGCTCAGCCTGTTTTCAAGGGAAGTGTGTGGATACTGCTGGGAGCTGGAGCCAGTTTCTAAGGCGCTCAGAGGAGACAAATCAAGAAGCAAATGAGACGAATAATGTCCGTCTGGAATAGTGGGTGATCACACAATCACAGAGCAGCCTTCCAAAGGGACCTAGCACTGTCACAGATTCTGCCTCCCAACCCGCTAGCTTTACCTGTGGGACAAAATAACATGCCACAGTCTTTGCAACGTCACATTGTGATGCTGCATCCATGAGTGATGAAACTGCAACATCATCACATAGAGACACAACATTGTGATGCTGAGTTATGTTGCAAGGTCATGGCATTGTGAGGCCTGAAATTAATAGGTGACTCTGTGGGATGGGGGACAAATCTATGACCATCAGGACCATCCCGCTGAATTTGGGACTGGTAGTGACCTGACTTTAAGACGTAGATTATTATCTGATTGTCCCACAACATGTCTCTTCCAGGCTCTTTGGAGATTCAAACCTGTCTCACTCACTGGAGACTAATTTCAAGCCAGTGTTTAAAGTCTCCTTCTCTTGTAGGGCCTGATCCAAAGCCCATTAAAATCAATGGAAAGACTCCCATTGACTTCAGTGGGTTTGGATCAGGCCCATAATGGAGTTTGCTGCGTGTTTCAGTGAGGCATTTAAAATCTCATTCATCATTTTTGAAGCCTCTCTCACACGAACGGCCTTACCCTGGGGTCACATTCTCAGCTGGCACAAATTAGCAGAACTTCCTTGAAGTAACTTACACCAGCAGAAAGTCTGACCTTCATTGACACCAATGCAGAGTAGATTTAAAATGTGACAAAAATCTAAATTCTCCACTCATACTAGTGGTGATGTTTTACCCGCACTTGGCCCTGCTGTAAATGACTAGCCAGTGGTGACCCTAAATGCTCCAGACCTGACAACTCTCTTCTCTAGAAGACCATCTGTGAGCGACACACCCAAATGCGGGGCTCAGCACAGTTTTCATGATATTTCTGGCTTCTGACTGTTCGCATCACCTCCACCCAACATTGCTGGCAGCAGAAATAATTTCATAAACTCTGGGAGTCAAATTCACCACTGACATAAGCACATGCAACTCTAGTGAATGTAGCCCATATAGGCAATGGTAGAGGCCACTGGATCTTCCAATCTGATCCTTTCTTACATATTTTGTTGGGTTTCTCTTTACACCAGGCCATGAATATCTGCTCTAGCCTGCTCTTGAATTTCAGCAGTGATGGTACCTCTGGCCATGAAGAATCTTAGGCCCAAATCCTCAAAGGAATTTAGGTGCCTAACTCCCCTTGAAATCAATGCACTCAAATACCTTTGAGGATCTGGGCCGTAGCGTCTTAGCCAAGGTTTTTACTTCTGTAACTTGTAGCTTGTCACTCTGTACCCGCAATGTCATCTCAGAAGTGAAGTAGTCCCTTGAAGGGATTTATAGGCTATGAGCGTGCCATGTTATGTGGATGTCTTTTGAATGCTCTCCTCACACGTCCTTTTCTCTCTCCCTGGGGGTGTTTTAGGGCTTGAACCAGGTCACATCCCCGGCTCGCTGAACATGCCCTTCTTTAAATTCCTCACTGAAGCCGGCTTTGAGAAGAGCCCAGAGGAGATTCGGAGTATGTTCCAGGAGAAGAAGGTGGACCTCTCGCAGCCACTCATTGCCACGTGCCGTAAGGGGGTCACGGCGTGCCACATTGCCCTGGCGGCGTACCTCTGTGGCAAGCCAGATGTGGCCATCTATGATGGATCCTGGTCAGAGTGGTTCCGCCGGGCCCCGCCAGAGCACAAGCTCTCTGAGTGGAAGCGCAACAAGGCATAAAGGGGGAGAGGTTGCAATGCAGTCCTTGAGCATTCATTGAGAGTGGGGTTTGTCAACTCCCTTCATTCAAGGGAGCTGGAAACGAGGGGAATGAATGTAATAAATTCTCTCTCTGTTATAGTTAATCTAGTTTTGTAAGAACAATTAATAGGTTTTTGGTCTATCTTTCTTTTTTAATCGCGCCACTGAATAAAATCTCTGCCTTCCGATTATGTGTCTGTATGTGCCTCTAATCCTCCCCAGTGACTGTGGGACCTCATCATTCTGTGATGTTACAATGTGCGGCTGAACAGCCACGTTCCACGGGGGAAAGTTATGCTCTCCCATGAGAGGTTCTGAGAAATCCCAGCTGGGTTAGGAACTACTGAAGCCAAGTTACCAACTCCCCCAAAGAAATGGGTAGCACAGCCTTGTGGGGAAAGCACAGGGCTGGACATCAAACATGGTAGGTTCTAATCCTGTGTGACCTTGGGCAAATCACTTAACCTCTCTTTCCTATTCTGTAAAAGGGGGGTAATGACACCTCCCTCCTGGGGAGTGTATGAGGCACAGTTAACACCATCTGGAGATGCTTGGGTGGAAAATGCAGTAGAAGTGCTAAGTCCTATTAATTATTATTTTATTATGTGAGCCACTAAGGATCCCCACACACGTGCTGAAAACTGTTGGGCCTGTGCTCTTTCTGAGACATGAGCTTTTTCCCCCAAAGATAAAACCGAACTGTGCCTTGTTTATTTTGGTTCCCATAGTAACTACAGCTCATAGATGGGGAGGGTTGTTCCCTAGCAACCATCCCTGATGCTTACTCTTAGTTCCACCTCTTTGCCTGCACTTCTGGACTTCAGCAGGACCTGCCTGGTTAGACGAATCACTTTGTCATCTCAACTGAGACCATGGAACAGGTGAGAGAGACATTTATAAGAAAGGCTTCACCTCTGAGCCTCATTCTGGAAACTCAGTGCCCCCTCCACCCCGCTTCAGAGACATTGAAACTCAGACAGACACACAAACAAAAAAAGGATGAGCCAATCAAAGACAACATTTCATATGTATTGCCACATTGCTTTTCAGGCCTGAGGCAGCACAGTGATCGCACTGTCTTTTTGATGCCAGTCCAGACCACATGTGGCAGGCGTGTGGGGCTATTCTTGGCCACCTCTGGCAGCTGATCCTGAGCCCCATTTGGCATGCGATACCAGGCCACTTCTGGCAGGTGTATAGTTCATCTATAATAATAATAGTGCTTTTCCCAGCCAGAGACCTTGTGAGAATGGCACAGCAATACCTTCAGCAGCCTGAAAAGGTTAGTCTTTAGCTCCATTGGGACAAGTCCCTTATTTCTCCTTGGTCAGTGGGAGTCAGAATGGCAGGAGAGTATGAACACGGTGAAAATACCCGAGGAATTATGCTAATAATTTATGTGGCATCTTCAGAAAAAGGCAGAGATAAAAGTTTGGTCATTTTATAGCTCTGTGGTCAGGAGTTGTTTTTTTTATAACATGTGCATGTGGGTAAGGAATGGTGTCCCTAGCCTCTGTTTGTCAGAGAGTGGAGATGGATGGCAGGAGAGAGATCACTTGATCATTACCTGTTAGGTTCACTCCATCTGGGGCACCTGGCATTGGCCACTGTCGGCAGGCAGGATACTAGGCTGGATGGACCTTTGGTCTGACCCAGTATGACTGTTCTTATGTTCATGTACAGTGCCTAGCACAGTGGGCTCAATCTAGGAGACTCTGGATGAAATTCTGTGGCTTGTGCTATCTCGGAGGTCAGGCTAGATGATTGAACGGTCCCTTGTGGCCTTAAGAGCTATCGATGTTTGAATGGGGCCTCGAGTTCAGTCGGAGCCTCTAGGCACTGCTGTAAGAAAAATACTAAATACGAATAATAATAGGTAATTAGTTCAAATCCCAGAAAAGAGGATCTGCATGTGAACTTTAAAGTCACTCAGCTCGCCGGAAGCTGGAGTAATCAGAGTTACTAAGGAATGTGCTTTGCGGTACAAGGAAAGCAGTGGAGGCAATACCCCAAGCCTTCTGAGTCAAAGGGTGACCCACAAATGGGAGACTTGCGGGCCTGCCCTCTTCCCATGGACATAAGAATAATGGTGGTAACTTGATTCAGCTCTAGGTGGGAAGCAGGAGTTAACATAGGAGCTAAGTGGGGGAGATCCATTTAGTTAACACCGAGTCCTGCAATCTGATAAAAATACAATTAAAATGCTCTTAAAAGAGATTGAAAATAATACAGAAAAAGAACGTAATTCTGTCCCATGGAGCAATCATGTGCCCTCACTCAGGGCCTGATCTAATGGCCAGAAAGTCAATTGGACTGTTGGAACAGGGCCTTGGGAGCCCTGCATTCGGGTTTGGCCAGCCAACGTGTAAGATGAATAGGGGGCAGAGAAGAGCAAGGACAAAGGTTAGAGGTGTGGGTGGGATTTGCATATGACAGCTCCTTCCCCACAGAATGCAGTCAGTCTGGGGAGTCTGCTGCCATCGAAGGGCACAGAGTAAAATACAGTAGCTGTTTTTTTTAACAAAAGGGCTGGCTAATTTGTTGACAAATAGCATTTGCAGTTATCGTGGCTTGGGTGAGGGTAGTCAAAGCAAAGCATAAAATGATCACTGCACAGGTCAGTGCTATGCACATCCCCTCCCCACCTTTGTCTTGTCTGTTTAGACCTTAAGCCCTTTGGGGCAGGGACAGCCTCTCACTGTGTTTGTACAGCACCTGGCACAACGGGGTCCTGATCTTGGCTGAGCCCTCTAGGAGCCACTGTAATATACATACCAAATAATAATGTTTTTAATGCCCTCTGCCTATGGCAAATGGCATTCTACAGACATTGATTATACACCATTACAGGCTGTAGCCTTTTGGACCAGTCCTGTAGAACACTGTATCGTTTTTTTGTAAGAGAGGATTATGGATTTGATGAACCAATCGGCTGCTCTGGCGTGGTAATTCCTAGACTGATCCGGTGCAGCAAATTCTATGTTAACCTGGTGTGGCACCCCGTCTATTTGGTTGGGCCGTGTCTTACTTCTGACAAACAACCAGCCTAACCCAAATTCTTGGCTCCTGCTCTATGCCTACCTAACACAGCCTTTGTTGTTCTTTCAAGGAGGTGCCTATGACCTCAGCCTCCCTTACACCTGCTGCAGCGAAACATGAGTCTGTGCTAGCCCACGACCCATCAGGTAAGAGACACAGTGGAACAGCTGCTTTGTTCACTAGCCCTCACTTTGCACTCAGACGTCTGACGTAGCTCCCACATTCCATGGGGGTTTTCCTCCACCCTTTACACCCCACCAGGGTTCCTGTGGGATTGCTTGTTTGCATGAATGTGTCCTGATTGGATATGCATGTGTCTGAGTGGATGATACACTTGGGTTTGTGAACTGATTAGCTACATACACCTATGGGAATGAGTTCTCATGGGCATGCCTGCACTGCTTAGGAATGTGTGTGTGTGTATGCAAGAAGGCATTCATGTGGGTGCATGACGATTAAAGGCAACAGATGTGCATGTGTGACAGGACGTATGCCTGCTGAGGTGTGAGAAAGTTCAAACCTGGGTTCGAGGGGACAGGCTGACTAGCTACACCTTTGTGTGTATGTGTGCTTCTGGACACGTGACAACATATATGTGCCACAGGCATACCTGAGCTCCTCGCACAGCCTTCTCCCAGCTCAGGGGTAGTAGATTATGTACACTGTACATTTTGGTGTAACCACGATGCTCTGCAGTGCAAGATCATTTATTGCCACACTCCTCTATCAAAATGATGGCAAATTCGTTGAGCTTTTCCTTCTATCTTTAAGTGGAACCTGGAGATGGCAACAAGGAGCGCATCCTGGCTGGGGCACGGGCCAGCAGCAAGAGAACCTCCTTGAAAAGTTCCAGTAGAACCTCCTGGAAGATCTCCAAGAACCCTACAGATAGCAGAACACCCATGAGTTCTCCTCAAGTCAAATCCCAGGCATCCCCCTCTGCACAGCATCTACACACCAGAAGCTATAGTAAACAGAGTCTCCGGGCCAAAACTCCTTCTGCATGGCATCATCTCACCAGAGAAGGAGGAGAAGAAGGCCGGGATGTCTCAGGTGCCAAGGAACCAGCAGTGGGGCAACATCAAAGAGGGAGGACAGGAAGTCTCCTACATCTTGCAAAGTCTACCCAGAAGGAGGCAGAAAGTGTCCAAGCCTACTCAGATGGCAAAGAACCAGTAGCAGGGCAACATCGATCGCTGGGGCCCAGGATGCCTGGATCTCCCCGAAAGCCCACCAAGACCAGCCACAAGGAAGCGAGGGAATTCCGGAATGGCTTAAGTGCAAAGGAATCCTTAGCATCAATAGGGCAAGACGTGAAAGCAGAGGGGAAGCTCTTTCAGGAGAAGAAAAGCAGCATAATCCCAATTAACATCAAACACAAGTTCGGGAGCAGCATCGTGGATGAGCTCGTCACCGAGGAACAGGTTGTGGAAGAAGTGGTGACATTGACACATGAGGAGTGGGAAGGATACTTTGGGGGGGACTGATTGGAAGTACAGCACCTGGAGGAGGGTGTTTTAGGGGGAGGCATTTTGGCTTTGCAACTGGGGGGCAGGTCCAGTGACAAATTCCATACCCAGAGGCACCAGATCTTCAACAATTTCTTGTGTTCTCTCTCTGTCTCCCCATCCTGACTTATCTCAGCATTCTCTTTCCCTCTCCCTCCTTGCACTCATGATGAAGAAGCAGAGGGTGAAGGCCAATTAGAGACATCAATAGCATTAGAGGGTGTGAGGCTGGGGGGTGTCACAGCACCCACCCCTGGGCCAAATTCAGACCTGTTGTAAGAAGATGACACTCCATTGATTTCAGCTAAATCACACCCATTTATACTACGTCTGAATTAGCCTATGTATTCAGGGTGCACCCAGAGATCAGGGGTACATGCTGGTGAGAGAGGTACACTCAAGAACAGCGCTTGCCCCTGGGGATCAGGATACATCTAGGGCCTGCACTTAGGGCCGGAGGTGCCTCCAGGGAGTTGGGTGCACTTGGGGTTTGTGGGTCAAGACTGACTCCATGATGTTTGTGCTTGCCAGGCGCGTCGTGCTCTGTGTGAGGCTGGACTGATCGAGGGGCAGAAACGACTCAGCAACCGGGCCCCTAAGACACCAGAGAATCCCATGGCCACCACATCCTTTGCTGATTATTATGAACTGGGTTACAACCTGAGGTCAAACATCTTCCAAGGTGAGGGGCCCTCCATTTCTACCCTGAGATTTCCCTCTACTATTTGCATTGCCCCAGGGCTCCTACATTGGTCTTTGTGTCTCTTTAACTATACCTCTCCCTCCCCCTTCTCCTCCTCCTCCTCTCTCCCCTCTTGTTCAGAACACTCCAGTAGCAGGATACAGGGGGAAAGAAGGGATGGCTATGGGTCCCCTTTTTACCCATTCCCCCTTTTCCTTATCTTCCTCTCTTCCTTCTTTCCAACCAGCAACAGCGAGGGTCCAGCATGACCCATTTCCCCGCCACTCGAGAGCTGCCTGGGTGGTAGCTTTTGCAATCAAATGTCCCATGTTAATAGCTCCAGTTCAAATCACATGCTTGTTCCTCTTTGAGGCCTTCTCAGACATGCTGTTCTGAAGCCTCTCCCCCAAGTCTCTGTGCCTCCAGAGTCTTCAGTGATCCCTCTATCTCATGGGTGAGCAAACTACAGCCCGGGGGGCGCATTTGGCCCTCCAAACATTTTAATTTGACCCTTGAGCTCCCGCCAGGGAGCAGGGTCGGGGGCTTGCCGTGCTCTGCGCAACTCCTGGAAGCAGCGGCATGTCTGTCCCCCCTCCCCCGGCTCCTATGCGTAGGGGCAGCCAGGGGGCTCCGCACACTGCCCCCACCCCAAGTGACAGGGCAGCGCGCACTGCCTGGCTGCGCCGCCGCGTAGGAGCCGGAGGGGGGAACCATGCTGCTGGTTCTGGGAGCTGCTTGAGGTAAGCACCGCCCAGAGCCTGCACCCCTGACCTCCTCCCGCACCCCAACACGCCGCCCCAGCTCTGATCCCCCTTCTGCCCTCCAAACCCTTCGGTCCCAGCATGGAGCACCTTCCTGCACCCCCAACCCCTCATCCCCTGCCCCAACCCAGAGCCCGCACCCCCAGCCAGAGCCCTCACCCCCTCCCACACCCCAACCCCAATTTTGTGAGCATTCATGGCCCGCCATACAATTTCCATACCCAGATGTGGCCCTCGGGCCAAAAAGTTTGCCCACCCCTGCTCTATCTGATCAAATAGATGTACTGCTCTCATCAACATGGTATCAGAATGCCTTTTGTGCATGCACCCAATGCCTCACGAGCCGGATTATGATTATTATGCAGTGTGCCCGGTGGTAGCATGTAGGAACCTCAGTCAAGAATTGGCACCTTTGTGTAGTCAGGTAAAATGAAGACTGGTCCTCCCTCAGGAAGCTCAGACTTGGCATCAACCAGTGGATGACAGCCAAAAGCAGGTCTGGGTGGCTTGGGAGGAGGAGGTATAATGAAACCAAGAAGAACTGAGCAAGGCTAGAAGGGACTGAGAGAAGTCACAACTCACCATTGCCTTGCCAGGGTCGGATGGGAGTGATCTGGAGGGCCCACAGGTTTGAAGGAGGGATTTAAGATGGTGGCTTTGTGAGTTACACCGAGATATTGGGAGCAGGAGGGGAGACTGCACATAAGTGCTTGAGGGAAAAGTAGACCTTAGGACATGACTAAAAATGATGCTCCACCATGGGCCTGCTCTACCTATGGGCAGAAAGTACTAGCAGACAAAGTGCAAGAATGCACTGGACAGAGTCCAAGCAGTCACAGAGCCATACCACAGACCCCATCAGAGTCAAATCTGAATGAAGGTGCTAATGTCAGTGGTGTATCCCTTTTCTCTCTCCCTTTTGGCCGTGGGTGTACATCACTTGTGCCAGCAGCAGAGGGGCTCATGGTGGTAAATTCCCGCATGGTCGGTTTCTTGCAGGTGGCCCAATAGAGAGTAAGAGCCTGATGAAGGATTCCTATACCCCAGATGTGATTCAAAGGGCAGTCAGAGACCCCAAGCACTGGCATGGAAGGAAAACCGATGACCTAGGTAAGACTTCAGTCATGAGCAAGCAACTGATGCACTTCAGAGCTGGGCACGGACTCAGAAAGGGAGGTGATGGGTTAGAGATGGGCATTATCACAGGAGAAGAGCCATTGAGCTAGGGCAGAGCACTGCCACAGCAGGTGGAAATCATTAAGGCTGGTTCTTACCCACACGGTATCATTAGGAGTGAAGCAGCGATTGAACTGTGGTTTGTCTTCTTTATAGGACGATGGCACCAGAAAAATGCCCTAAACCTTAACCTGCAAAAAGCTTTGGAGCAGAAATACGGAGAGAAGACCAAAGGTACCAAATCCTAGAAGGCAAAAGACAGAGAAGCAAAGCGCTCTCCGAAAGGGACCCTGCTCTCCCTAGCGCTAGAATAAACCTCCGTGCAGCCTCGATCGGTGTGCTTGCTGAGCATCAGCAATATGAGTGGCAGGAAGAGACCTGGGCAATCAGCCGGCAGAAACACAATGGCAAAGCCTCTTATCCCAGGAAAAGGGAGGGAGAGTCTTTGGGGGCAGCAGTGTGTGAGAGGACTGAATGGCCATGGAAACAGTTCTCATGGAATCCCTGCAGGGGGAGACTGGGGGTGGGGGAGGGCACTGGGGGGAGCAGTGTGGGGGTGCAGAGAGGAAGCCCAGGACTGAAGGAACAAGGAAACTGACTATCCAGCAGACTGGGGACAGTGTTTAAGAAATAGCAGGGCTGGAACGTGTGTGTGCGTGCATGTGTGTGGAGGGAGGATGCCCATGACTGAATGACCATGGATGGCACTTTGATGGCTGCCAGCCCCTTTTCCGTCTCTCACCTGGATTCTGTACACAGTTCTCCTGCACAGCTGGAAGCACAGTGGGGGCTTGGTGAGATATAGAAACCAGGCAGAAAGCCGTCAGTCTGAGGGCCCTTTCTGTGGGAACACATTCTCGCAGGTGTTTTTAGGGGGCCAGTCACTCTCAGTACAGCATCCAGGTGCAACTCTTGTCCCTGTCAGGGGCTGAGACTGTGAGGCAGGAGGCAATTTCCTTCCCTCTCATAATTCTGGTTGTGTTGCTTTAAGGCGGCTAGACTGAGACTCGCTTGGAGAGCTCCTGCATGGCCAGCGTCCCACAGTGACTGTGGGAAAACCTGCCAACACTCACCTCAGCACTGGAGGCCACAGATCACCCAGCCAAACCCAGGAGCTCCAAAACCCAAACCAATGCCAAAAAGCCCATCCCACCAAAAGGGAGACAGAAGGCTGCAGAGGGACCCCTGGGGGCCCCTGGAATTCTCACTCTGGGGTGACCCAGCAGCATGGCGAAGGATCATTTTGGGGTCTTTTATGACAAGCTGTTCCTACTTGTCCAAGTCCCGTCTCCCACCATCCCCTATAACAACGTCTCTCTGTGGGCAGGAAGGTGCCAGCATTGCATGGTGCTCTGAGGTCCAGGTCCACCCGCAGATAGTAAATCCAAATGGGAATTAATCACTCAGAAGGGAGGAGATGAACCGTGGCAGGCAAGGGGGTGTCACGCAGTAACACTGTCTGCTGGTTGGGGGTGCCATGGTGGTTTAAGATCTGCTCACAGCTGTTCAGTCTGAGACGGTTCCTCAGAGAACCCAAGGGCTTCTAGTGTTTGTTCCTTCCTGCTGGCTCTACACAGATCACTACTTGCCAAAGTTTGCAAGGGGAGAGGGGCCCTCTCTTTCCCCAGCCACAGATGCTGGAACTAGGGGTGCTGCCACACCCCCTGGCTTGAAGTGGTTTCCATCAGATAGAAGGTTTACAGTTTGGTTCAGTGGCTCTGAGCACCCCCCACTATGCAAATTGTTCCAGCACCCCTGGGCCCAGCCACACCTCCAGGCTTGTAACTGCTGATTATTTTGCCACAGATGTAGGGTTACCATTCGTCCGGATTTACCCGGACATGTCCTCCTTTTTGTGTTAAAAATAGCGTCCGGGGGGGAATTTGTAAATCACTAAAAATGTCCGGGATTTCCCCCCATGCAGAGCGAGGCGCGGCTGGGAGGGCTGCAGGAAAGTCAGCCGCTCGCATGGGGCTCTGGTAGCCAGAGCCCTTCCCGCGCAGCTTGCCGGGCTGGACTCCGGAGCAGCTGTAGAGCTCCTCCTCCCCCCCTCCCTCCCTGCATTCTGAGCCGGCCGGCCTGACGGGCCATTTGCATCGGCCTCAGCAGCTCCTCCTCCCCTGCAGCCCAGTGCCCCGCTCCGGCAGCACTGTGCAGGGGCAGGGACCGGGTTGTGTGTTGCGCTGGGGAGCGCAGCCACATGTCCGGCTCCGCACAGAGCCCAACACCATGTTCTGAGCGGCAGAGTAAGGGGGCCAGGGGGCAGAAAGATTTTGGAGGGGGCAGTCAGGGGACAAGAGGCGGGGAGGCTTAGGTAGGGGGTGGAGTCCTGGGGGGCAGTTAGGGGCAGGGGTCCCAG